GGAAACACACCATTTTTTTAAAAATCGTTATCAAAAATAATATCCTCAGGATTTCCCTGGTGGTCCAGTGGCTAAGACTCTGCAACTCCCAATGCAGGGTGTCCAGGTTTGATCCCTGGTCAGGGAACTAGATCCCACATGCCACAACTAAAGGTTCTGCATGCTGCAACTAAGACCTGATGCAGCCAAATAAATAAATAAAAATGTAAAAATAGTAATAGAGCCTCAATCAATAGGCCCTAAATAAAGTTATTTAAAATAACTTTAAATCAGCCTGAAAATCTCATTATTATTATTATACCTACAATTTTCATTGTGTGTTAGTTGCTCAGCCATGTCCAACTCTTTGTGACCCCATGGACTGTAGCCCACCAGGCTCCTCTGTCCATGGGATTTTCCAGGCAAGAATACTGGAGGGGGTTACCATTGCCTTCTCCAGGGAATCTTCCTGACCCCGGACTGAACCTGGGTCTTCCAAATTGCAGGCAGATTCTTTACTATCTGAGCCACCAGGGAATACGCTGTGAAATATTAGGTGGGGCAAAAGAGTAACAGGACATGTGTGATTTAAATAGGATAACCGTGGTGTTGACTGGACTGTTATATGAAAGCAAACACAATGCTGTCCAGGGACTCCTTATTCCTAGACAAGAATCCTAGACCACCTCAGGGAAATCACATTGACAAGAGGAAGGTCAAGTGGCAGGAACTGTCAGGCAGCAATGCTGTATCAGATAAACGCAGCATTAGGTTATATGAGCCATGCTGATGCCTAAAGGGAAAATTCTTCATTTGTTTCACCTATTTTTTTCACTGAAAATCTAACTAATAGGAAATAACATTCACTTCAACTGAAAAAAAACTTTCCCTTTCCCTCCCTGACTCTGAAAATGAACTAGTAATACTGTAAAGTAGAAAACTACTTAAATCTCAGCTTCCCTGAAGAGTTTATGTTTGGCATACTAGAGATATTTCCAACACCATTCCTTAAATTCCTCCAAAGACCTCTCCCACTTACAGCAGGATTTGCCCAAGATTTCAATAAGGACTTTTTCTTCACAAGCTTCAATATTCAAAGTTACTTGGAAATTGTAATGGAAAAATAAATAGGTGAAAAAAATAGTTTAAAAAGATCCCATGTATTCTTCTAATCCTAATCTCCAAAATATACAATGTATATAAAATTGAAATCCATCTTTAATTATAGGAACATTCTGAAATCCTCTCACACATTTTTCCTAAAAAAATTCAGAAAGATGTCTATCAATCTATAATTATACTATTTTAGTTTTTAAATAATAAAATAGTTATTTTATTATTATTTAAAATAATAAAATAAAATATTCTAAATAATAAAAAATAATTACAATTTTTAGGTCATCTCCTGTACACTTAACCAGTGTGTCCAGTCAGAAAGATACAGGAAAAGAATAATGAGTTCCTTCTATATGCCAGGCACTCTTTTAGCTGCATCACAAAGTGTGAAAGATCTAAGGTTTTATGCCAACTCTGCTACTAGTTACCTGTGTGATATTGGGCCTACTGCTCAAATACTGTCTTAATGTCAACATCTTTAGATTGTGGATAATAATAGTTACCTCATAGAGTTACTCTGGGGTTTAAACTAGCTAATGGTTGTAGTCAAGGCTTAGGATCCATAGTTGGCACCTAGTGTTAGCTGTCTATAATCAGTGCCAAGAAGAAAGAACTAAGAACCAGAACTGCAGCAGAAAAGAAAAGTTGGCCAGAATTTCTGGCAAAGAGCTGAGGAATCAAATTAGTATTCTCTCAAGAATCTTCAGCTCTAGGCCTGCATCCATCTGGAGGGAAGGTACAGAGAGCTATTAGGAAGAATCCTGGGGCAAACTGGTCCTGACACAAAACCAAAGATCACAGATGGGAACAGATTAGCCTCTGGAACGCGATATTTGACTCAAGTTGGGTTGGCATGCAGAAGCAATGCAACAGGGTTTGCCTTGAAAAATATGTAACATTATGTAAACTGTTATTACTACATACGTGCAAACATCCTAACTTACACAGACATATGCTGCCAAGCAGAGATGGATTTATATGTTGTGTGATTGAAAAGAAGACAACAGATGAGTCAGTGAGAATATCAGAGAAAGCAAGGAATGTGGTAATAAAACTAGGTTAGAGATGTCATATAGGGTGATGACTAAGTATTCAGGCTCTAAAAACAAAATGCTGCACTTAGTTGCTCAGTCGCGTCCAACTGTTGCCACTCCATTGACTGTAGCCGGCCAGGCTCCTCTGTCCATGGGGATTCTTAGGCGAGAATACTGGAGGGGGTCGCCATGCCTTCCTCCAGGGGATCTTCCCAACCCAGGATTTGAACCAGGGTCTCTGGCATTGCAGGCTTTACCAGGCGAGCTACCAGGGAAGCCCCCAAAACAAAATGCCTATTTACAAATATTGGCCAAATACTGGCTCCATCATTTACATTTTAGCATGAACTCAGCCAAGGTAAAATAACTTTTATGTGCCTTAGTTTCCTCTTGTGTAAATATGAATAATATTAATATCTACCTCATAGGCTGTTATAAGGATTAAAAAATTATATATATAAAGTACTTAGAAGATTGCCTGGCACATGGTAAGCATCAGTTTCCTAATCTGTAAAATGGGAACAATAAAACTTATTACTTCATAGGTTGTTATAATAACTAAATAAATCATATCTGTACAGTGCTTAGTACATAATAAATAAGTATTTGGTATTTTTATTTTAATACCAGTATTTGGTATTTTTATGGGTGGGTACCAAAAATAAATTTTAATCCAGAGAAAAAATTAGTGAAAAATACAGAAAATATCATGAAGAAGTGTTATTCCTATTTTGGTGTTGAATATATTTTCTGGGAAGCCATGAGTAACTTGGCACGTTTATCCTCTTTCCCCTGTATAAAACACATATGAATCACTCCATCTCTGAGATCTGTCAAAGGATTTAAGACAAATAAAATTACAGAAGACACCAAAAAAAGGAAGAAGAAGAAACCACACCTAAAACAGCAATTCTGAAATAATATTCCTCTCAATCTTCATTCACTGACAAAGAAAAAAGAAAACTCAGTAACTAAATTAATGACCAAAAACTATTTACAATCTTACTTACAGAGAAAATTGACAAAATGGGCACTCACAAAGAAATTTCCTATGACAAGCCTACTGAAGAACAAAACAAATGTTGGCATTAAGAATTTAAAGGTCAAATAATTGGAATCCAAATAAGCATAACTTTTTATATCTTCTTATAAAGAAAGTCCATAAAGAAACCAGGAGAGTACAACAGTCAAGGGAACCAAGAAAATTTTAAGTAGGAGGCTGTGGTCAACAGTGGGCCAACTGTTGAAGGGCTGAGGTACCTGAAACGCTTGGGCAATGTCCAGTGAGGTTAAGCAGCAAGGTTATAATTAGCAATATTGCTGAAATCATTACATGGGGGACAATCATAGTACAACCTGAGAAATGATTTTTAGAGAGAGAGGAACAGAAGACAAAGCATGAGTCACTAACTCTGAGTTAGGATAAGCTTTCCCAACTTGGAGATAATCAAACTGGGATTTTTTTTCAAGTTAAAATTTTTATTTTAATAGTAACAAATTAAGTAAATTGATAGTGGGGATTCATTCCACAAAACCTATGACCAGGTCACCCTCTAGCCCAAAGTGAATAGAGTAACTTTAGTTTTTCCATCTAAAAGCTGTTAATGCACAAAATTTAAGAAGATACATATGAAAGTTTAAACTGAATGGTGTTTTACTGGATTTTATTACAATTCTTCTGTGCTAAGAGATTTCTTGGTTAGCAATGCAAGTAAAATTTAACATGATTTTTAGAGATGTGATAATGTGTACCAGTCTCCACTCTAAAAGGATTATGCAGGCTAGAGTTTAAGAAACCACCTGTAAGTTCTCCTGGTCAGTTCTGAATGATCTTTAACACCATTTATATAGCCATCCAAACACTGCCAATACAAATATAATGTGAGTTACATATATAATTTCAAAACTTCTAGTACCCACATTTAAAGTTAAAAACAGGTAAATAATTTTACTATTTTCTATTTAATCTACTGTCCAAAATATTATCATTTCAACATGTAATCAATATAAAATTATTGCACAGGTATTTCATATTCTTTTTCCAAACTAAATCTTTGAAATCCAGTGTGTATTTTACATTTCCAACACATATCAATTTGAACTAGTCTCATTTACAGTATTCACTAACCGCTTGTGGTTGTGCCTGCCACATTGGACATTGCAGGGCTAGAATCCAAGCTCCCTGGAAATAGCAACATGCATTGTCTTATTCACAGATTTGTAACTGTAGCATTAAGAACAGTGTCTGGGACAAACACACTGCAATGAATATTTGTTGAATAAATAAACAAATGAATTAATCTACTGGTTTTATACACATATATTAAAAAATCCTATGACATAAATGAAGTTTTAATTACATGGCTAGAACTATTAAGAGAAGCACAGAATTATATTAATTCAATTCTATAGTTTAGTGATACAATGTTTGTCAATACAAATTCTAAATAGGTATATACTTCCATATACAATGTTTCACTGTATTTTATCTTACACAGGAAATGAACAATAATCACTTTAAAGATAATTTTTCTAAACATTTAGTAGATCAAAATGCTATCACACCACACTAAAATCAAATAAATTATAGCTGTTCTTTCTAGCATGAATTAATTCTACATTCATCAAATACACACAATTATTAGATAGTCCACCAGTATTTGCAAAGAAGTGTTTTTGTCTTAATGTCCAACCCATTCGAAAACTAGCAAAAGAATATGCCCAGTAGAGCATCAGGTCCCTGAAAAAAAATTAAAAATATTCATTATTTTTAAAATGTTTACCTCCTAAAGTACTGAGATTACTTAATATAAATGAAATGGGCCCCAAAGAACTGATGTTTTACTAACAAAGGTGAGGGAGAAAGCTTACCTTCTCTGCTAAGAGCTCTCGTATCTTGCTTGCTTGAACTCTAAATTTCATGAGCTGGGACTCCAGGGCTACACAACGTTCTTTCCAATCTACTGGCCCTTCTGTCTCAGAAAGCTCTGCCATAATTATTCTAGGAAAGAAAGCATTCAAACAGCATACTATCAATTAGCATTCAGGATAATTCCTTAAATCATCCAATGCACACATTCTAGACACCATCTAATGATATCTAAATGCAAGTTTTGAATCCTAAGATAAATTCCAGAACCTGGTGACTGCTCATGGAAAGAACTTAGGGGAGACGAGGCCAGGAAAGGAGGCCCAACTGGGTTATTTAAAATTTCTGTGTAACTTAACCTTTCCATGTCTCAGCAATCTAGAAAAAAGGGCGAATTCAGCAATAACGAACCATTCTTCTCACAGATAGGTAAGGAACAAATTAAATATTGCTGTTCTTACATCACTTTGGACACTATAATAGTATCACACAGAGTACTGTCATTATTTTAGCTTTGCTAAACAGGTAAGATTTTTAAAAATCTGTCAGTTCACAATTTTACCACATTAAATTTACAAAATTATTAGTTTTGCTTCCAGTCGTAGCATCATACGTGCGTGTGCTAAGTCACTTCAGTTGTGTCTGACTCTTTGTGACTCCATGGACTATGGCCTGGCAGGCTCCTCTGTCCATGGGATTCTCCAGGCAAGAATACTGGAGTGGGTTGCCATTCCCTTCTCCAGGGGATCTTCCCTATCCAAGGATCGAGCCAGCATCTCTTACGTCTCCTGTAAAAATAACCTAAAGAAACGTCATACCAGTATTTCAATTATGACTTAGATTCGTATTATAATTATTACTTACCACTACCATAAAGTTGTCCAGGTTATCTTTCAAAACAAAAACACTTTGGCACAATTAACTGGGTAAAGTATTATGACCCTGTACAAGCTTAGATAATTTTTATTTGGTGTAAGAAAAGAAAACATATAAATATGAAATTTGGAACCACCTACATTAAATAGATCTGGAGTCAGGGTATTCCATGATAGTAACCTTTTTTTGGAGGAGCTTAATCCCATGGAGAATCACAGTAAGGGGGAAGCCAAGAAGCAGGGGCACAGATTCTGAAATTCTAAAGTGCAAAAAACTATTGCTCGATTTTGAAAACACAATTGTTTCTAGTTCTGGGTGTTGAAAATGTAGTTTTAAATGTTACTATTTCATCAAGTCACTTTCATAAATGGCTTTATAATGTGCTTCTGAATTGCTTTTGGTATGAACTGATAAAATGTGCATTAGGAATGGCTCTTCTGGGGACGTCAAGCCCTAGTCATGGACTGTGTGTGTTAAGTCGCTTCAGTCAGGGACTATACATGACAGCAAAACTCAGAATCCCGGGACAGAACTGCAGTTGAAGTATATTATTCTGTTCTTTTGTTTTTCAAAAACATGTCTGCTTCACAGATTAACCAAGTTGATTTTCCCAATATTTTGTGCAATATAACCCCTTCTTAAACCTATAACAGTTTTTTAAACCTGCAAATGATTGTTTTCCTAGCATAAATACTGTTTTGTGATTAGATTAGCTTTCATATTAATACTTATATTACCACTCAATAATTTAGAAGTAAATATAGGCAAAGTTGTTCTACAACGGCTACAACTTCATTAAGAGTCCCCTGGTCATTTCAAAGCCTTCAGATGCTACTAAATTCTAGCCATAATGTAAGGGAATCTTCCTGTAGAGTAAGTAATCATTCTCCTCACTTCCTCATTTTTTCTAAAAGCCCCATCCCATTGTTTTATGAGTTTTCCCTAAAGATATCAACCATGTTAATGACCTTTTTCATTATTCATAATAGCATTTACTATCAATGCACATATTGATAGTAATCAATTCTACTGCTACTTCATTTCTTTTCTCATTAGCTTTAGACTGGACAAAGAAGAAAATACAGATGAAATCTTAAAAATAGAAAGCAGACCTGAAATGAAATGCTTAAGTCTTGAACCATTCTTATCACTGCACAGAAATATAGGGAAGCTTCTATGTCTTAAGTAACAAGAAGAGCATTTCATACTGATAAATTTTTGCTGTACACTTAAAATAACCTTTTAAGTTCCACTATAAAATTTCTACAGCTTTAAAAATGACAAAAATTTTTCAACAAGTGAAAATCAGTGTAATGAACCATATGAACAGAATAAAAGACAAAAACCATATGATCATTTCAACAGACACAGAGAAAAGGACTTGACAAAACTCAACATTATTGTATGATTAAAAACATTCAACAAACTATTAATAGCAATATAAGTTAACTTCCTCACCCTGATATACAAGTATCCACGAAAGCCCACAGCTAACATCACACTTAATTGTAAATGAATGATCTGTGTAAGATCAGGAACAACATAAGGGTGTTTGCTTTCGCCACTTCTAATGTGTCGTACTGGCCAGTACAAGAAAATAAATTAGGAAACACACAGATTGGAAAGGAAAAACTAAAACTGTCTCTATTTTAAGATGCCATGGTCTTATATACAGAAACTTCCAAGTAATCCATTAAAAAAAGAAAGAAAGAAAAAAGCTATTAGAACTAGTTGAGATCAGAAAAGTTTCAGGAAACCAGATCACTATATGAAAATTAATTGTTTTTCTATACACTTGCAAGGAAAACTCCAGAAATGAAATCAAGATTATATTCCACTTACACCAACATCAGAAAGAATTAAATATTTAGGAGTAAATTTAACAAAAGAAGTACAAGATTTGTACTCTGAAAACTAAAAATCATCATTGAAAGAAATTAAAGAAGACCTAAAGAAACGGAAGACTTCGTATGGATGGCAATACCTGCAAATGGATATATACATTCGATATAATATCTATCAAAATTTTAACTACATTTTTTGCAGAAACTGATAAGCTGATCCTGTAATGCATACAAAAATTCAGAATACTCAAAACAATCTTAAAGACTCACACAATTTCAAAAATTACTGCGAAGCTATAGTAATTAAGACTGTGTGGTACTAGCATAAAGATAGATACATAGATAGATGGATAGATAGATCAACAGAATAAAATTATGAGTACAGAAATAAAGAAATAAGGATGGGGACAAGAATAGGTGAAGGGGATCAAGTGGCACAAACCTCTTACATTAGCTATATAACAAATAAGGGCTTCCCTTGTAGCTTAGCTGGTAAAGAATCCGCCTGCAATGTGGGAGACCCTGGTTTGATTCCTGGGTCGGGAAGATCTGCTGGAGAAGGGATAGGCTACCCACCCAGTGGGGTGCAGATGACACCACCCTGTTGGCAGAAAATGAAGAACTAAAGAGGAGAGTGAAAAAGTTGGCTTAAAGTTCAACATTCAGAAAGTTAAGATCATGTCATCCGGTCCCATTGCTTCATGGCAAACAGATGGGGAAACAGTGGAAACAGTGGCAGACTTTATTTTGGGGGGCTCAAAAATCACTGCAGATGGTGACTGCAGCCATTAAATTAAAAGACACTTACTCCTTGGAAGGAAAGTTATGACCAACCTGCTGCTGCTGCTTCTAAGTCTAGACAGCATATTAAAAAGCAGACATTACTTTGCCAACAAAGGTCCATCTAGTCAAGGCTATGGTTTTTCCAGTAGTCATGTATGGATGTGAGAGTTGGATTATAAAGAAAGCTGAGTGCCAAAGAATTGATGCTTTTGAACTGTGGTGTTGGAGAAGACTCTTGAGAGTCCCTTGGACTGCAAGGAGATCCAATCAGTCCATCCTAGAGGAAATCAGTCCTGAGTGTTCATTGGAAGAGTGTTGTTGAAGCTGACACTCCAATACTTTGGCCACCTGATGCAAAGAGCTGACTCATTTGAAAAGACCCTGATGCTGGGAAAGATTGAAGGCGGGAGAAGAAGGGGACAACAGAGGATGAGATGGTTGGATGGCATCACCGACTCAATGGACATGAGTCTGGGTAAACTCCAGGAGTTGGTAATGGACAGGGAGGCCTAGCGTGCTGCAATCCATGGGGTTGCAACGAGTCGGAAATGACTGAACAACTGAACTGAACCAACTGAACCCATCCCAGTATTCTTGGGCTTCTCTGGTGGCTCAGCTAGTAAAGAATCCACCTGCAATGTGGCAGACCTGTGTTTGATATCCGGGTTGGGAAGATCCCCTGGAGAAGGGAACAGCTACCCACTCTAGTATTCGGGCCTGGAGAATTCCATGGACTGTATAGCCCATGGGGACACGACTGAGCAACTTTCACCTTACCAAATAAGTCATAGGGAGGTAATATACAGCATGAGGAATATGGTCAATGTACTAACTTTGTATGGGAATAGGTGGTTGTTAGACTTATGAGGATCATTTCATAATGTATGCAAACAAGAAATCATTATGGAGTATACCAAAATTAACATAATAATGTACATCAACTCTATTTCAATTATAAAATATATCTATAACAACCATACTTCCAAATAAGATCACATTCTGAGATATTGTGGGTTAGGACTGCAACATTTCTTTTTTGAGGGGAAGGGAGCAATTCAATCCATTTTTAAAAATACACAAATAAAAAACCCTCACATGTAGAGTGAACTGATTTTTGACAAGGTGGAATGAAAAGCTCTTTTTAAATAAATGGTACTAGGCAAATGGACATCCACATGCGAAAGAATAAATTTGGTTCCCCACCTCATACCATACACAAAAATTAACCCCAAATGGATCAAAGATCTAGATGTAAGAGCTAAGGCTCTAAACTTGTAGTAGAAAAAATAGTCATTAAGTCTTTGTGATCTTGAATAGACAATAGTTTCCTAATATAACATTTAAAGCATAAGTAATAAAAAATGGATAAATTTAACCTAAAATTAAATATTTTTGTGCTTCAAAGGACACCATCAAGAAAGTGGGGGTTTCCCTAGTGGTCCAGTGGTTAAGAATCCACTGTGCAATGCAGGGGATACGGGTTTGATCCCTGGTGGCATCCTGGTCATGCCACAAGGCGACTAAGCCCATGAGCTGCAACTAGTGAGCTTAAGCCTGGAGCCTGGGTCTGCAACAAGAAACCATGGCAATGAGAAGCCCCTGCAATGAGACTGTAGCCCCCACTTGCTGCAATTAGAGAAAGACTGCACGCAGCAATGAAGACTCACAGAAGCCAAAAATTAAAAAAGACATAATTTTTTATTAAAGAAAAAGAAAGTGAAAAGACAACCCACATAATGGGAAGAAATATTTACTAATCACATTCGCTATAAAGGACTTGTATCCAGAAAATAAAAAGGACTCTTACAACTCAACAATAAAAAGCATAATTAAAAAGTAGCAAAGTATCTAAAGAGATATTTTTTAAAGAAGATATTCAAATTAAGAATAAGCACATAAAAAGATACTCAACACCATCAATATTAATATAAGGGAAAAAGGAAATCAAAATCACAATGACATCACACTGTATACCAAATAGAACAGTTATAATAAAAAAGACATGTAATAACATGTGTCAGTAAGGATGCAAAGAAACTGGAACTCCTATATACTACTGTTGAGAATGTAAAAACAGTAAAACTGCTTTGGAAAATAACAGTCCCTCAAAAGTTTTAACATAAAGTCACTATATGACTCAGTAACTCCAATGTTAAGTATATACTCAAGAGAACTGAATACAGAAGTCCACATCAAAACTTGTACACAAATGTTAATAGCAACATTACTCAGTCAGAAAGTAGAAACAAACCAAGTGTCTACCATCAGATGAATGGATAAACAAAATGTGGTATATCCACACAATGGAATCTTACTCAGCCACAGAAGAAGGAATAAAGCACTAATACACGCTACAACAATGGATGAACCTTGAAAACATGACCTTAAGTGCCAAGTGAAAGAAGCGAAACACAAAAAATGACATATTGTATGATTCTATTCATATAATAGGCAAATCTCAAGACACAGAATATTAGCTTAGTGGTCACCAAGGGCTATGAAGAGAGAGCAATGGTGATCAACCAGTAAATGGGTTGGGAGCTTCTTTGTGGAATGATGAAAATATTGTAGAATTACACAGTGCTGTTGATTGCATGACCTTGTGAATACACCAAAAACCACTGCACTGTACACTTTAAAAAAGTAACTTTTATGGTTTGTGAATTACACCTCAATTATAAAGAGTATATATTTACAAATGAATAAACAAAAAGTAAGTGGATGTATATTAATAAATCTATTGTTTGTGGTTACCCCTGCCAAGAATTCCACCATTACTTCAATCTAGAGTTAACTGTTAATCTCAAATATGACAAGTATCAGACATATATTTCACCAAGAGTACTGTGCTATGAAAATGACACATCAAATAAATTCTGTTAAAAACATCTATTAATTTCTTCAGTTATGTAATTACATACTTTTACAGTGAAGTAGCAAAATGTTAGGAATATTATTGGTATTTAATATCTACATTCCTTATTAATAGGGTCATTATTTTAAAAATTCAAAACTACAGATTGGTTGGCTTATGGCCTATAGTTGGCTAATGGTTGGCTGATGGTCCTGAGATCTAGACACCTGATTTCCTCATTTCATCCTGTAAATTCAGTTAATATAAAGTAACTGACGTGTTAATGCGCCAGCTTTCCTAAAGATTCTAATTTTGAACAACAGTCACCATCTTTTCCCATTACTACTGATTTTATAGAATCCAACAATATTCATAGCTTTGAGAGCCATAGAAAGAAACAAGAAAGTGAAATTGCTCAGTTGTGTCCAACTCTTTGCGACCCCATGGACTGTAGCCCACCAGGCTCCTCCATCCAATGAATTTTTTAGGCAAGAGTACTGGAGTGGGTTGCCATTTCCTTCTCCATGGGATCTTCCCGACCCAGGGATCGAACGCGGGTCTCCCGCATTGCAGGCAGACGCTTTACCGTCTGAGGCACCATGGGAATCCCCTTGAGAGCCATAACTACCTGCTAAATAAATATCATTTTTAAATTTCGAATTTAAAAGTAATCTATCTTCACAGCAGCGGACAGGAAAAAGTCTTTGTTTTCCAAATACCCCCAATGACTTTTGAAAACATTTACTGACACAAAATGAACTGTTTACAGTTGTGGAATAAATGCTCTTTTCTCTGAATCTTTGACTTCCTGTTTCTCTTACAAATCCCTAGAGGGAAAGAAAAAGAAAGAATTCATCTACTTAGGCTTACCCTGATGAAGCTCAGGGTACCCACTCATACCCTTTAATTCTCTCCTCTTACGGGACAGATTAACTTGGCCAGGTAAGTGTGTGTCTGTGTGTATCGGTAGTGCTACGGGAGGGGTGGGGGAAGGGGGCGAGGGTCGCCATTCCTAAAGCAGAAAAGATGTCTTTCTTGACCGCACTGAGGCTTGCCTTGTTTAAGGAACCTCCCGACCACCAGGCAGCCAGCACCACTTGGGCAAAGCCGGCCCTTTGGTAGCACTGCTCAGAACCCGTGCTCGTCACTCCATAGCTCCCTGGGGATACACACAGATGCGTGGTCGAGGCTTGCGACTGGCATTTTAACAAAGAAAGCAGTGACCTGTAGGTAACATAGCACTAAGGCTTTTCCAGCGTAAATGTTTCAACTTCTCTTTCCACGGCGTTTCGCACGTCAAAATCTATGGTCAAACGTTCCATCTTTTAAAAAGTTGGGGAAAAACTTCAGAGACAGTGCCGTTTCACGCCAGGTTACCTAAGGGCATTCTGACATTTTGGCAACTCGAGGTTTAGAAAAAGGTTCTTTAAAGTTTTGAGAAGTTTCACCCCCGTGGTTGCAGTGGGGCTCCCAAGAAGCTGAGGCCGAGTCGCAGCATCTCTAACTGCGTGGGCCACTCGGCAGCGGACGCGCCGCAGCCCCGTGCGCCCCCTGACCAACAGCGATGCGCCACAAACCTGGGCCCAACGTTTTCAACAAAATGTCACGGGAGGCCAGGGGGCGAGGAGCCGCCGACCACCGCTCCCACACGAGAGCCCAGCTCTGGAGGCAGCAAGGGAATCAACGCGGAGTGCGGGGGCTGAGGCGGGGGTCGCGGAGTTGAGTCCGGTACCAGTTTGCTCCATCCCCTGGGTCCCGGCACGCTGGATTCTCCCGCCGCCCCCATCCTCCTTGCGACGTGCCCACCGGGGACTGCGCGCTGTAAAGAGGGCGAGGACCCCCCGGGCATCCCCAGGCACCGGAATCTCTGGGGTCGCCTTTCGGCTCCCGGCCTGTCTCATGAGCCTACCTCTGCGCGGGTCCCGGCAACACCGCCCGTAACCCCGGCCACGTCTGGTGCGGAGTTCCTGGGGTTCTTAGCGTAAACCCTCCTTACACCAAACTCGGAGCAGGCGGGAGAGAGGGGCGGGATGCCGCCTCCTCCAGAGACTGGCGGCCGTGTAAGCCAATCAGGCGCCTCAGACGGCCTATGACGTCACTAGGAGGTGTGGCCAGGACTTTGACCCCTCCCTGTCCCTAATCCAGGAGAGAGTTCTGTCCAGGAGTTTCTATCTCTGGCCTTTGCCACACTCAGAGCTCAGAGTCTGTTGTAGGGCTCACCTCTTTTCAATTCGCTCGGCCCTGACTCAGCTCCTTCTTGTTTGGTCTACCTGCCTGAAGCGAGTCCTCTTACCAATCAGTCCTTCACCCTTTGATCAGGTTAGCTGTCCTGTTTTGGTGTACTCTCTGACAAAGAACTTCATTGGCTTCCATTTGCTTAAGTTATCAAAAACAGATCCCTTAGTCTAGTGTTCATGGTCTCCATCCTACTTTTGTCAGGTTTATTCTTCACAGCTGCCCTTCACCTACCTGAGACTGATGCTATGCACTTCCCCACCCCGAGGAAGTCCATTTGGAACATTTACCTACTATTTCCTATGTCCACATTTAAATGGTCCATCTATCCTCTAAGACCCAGCTCAAACAATCTGCGTGTAATCATGCTTGTTGCCCCACCTAGCAGTAATCTCTTCTCTTGTTTCTGCTCCCTGAGTGTTTAGGTTTTTACTCTTCTTGCTACTTAGCTCGTTCTGCCTCGTGTACAGTTCCTTGCATGTGTGTATACATGCTCAGTCGTGTCCGACTCTTTGCAACCCTGTGGATTGTAGCCCAACAAGCTCATTTCCATAGAATTTTCCAGGCAAGAATACTGGAGTGGGTTGCCATTTCCTACTCCAGAAGATCTTTCTGACCGAGGGATCAAACCCACATTTCCTGCACTGGCAGGAGTATTCTTTATCACTGCACCATCTGGGAAGCCCAATCCTGATCTCTCCGTTAGGCTGTGATCTCTTTGAAACCAGAGATTTGTTTCCTTTCTTTTTGTATCTTCCTTGGCACCTAGCGCAGAGCCTGAGTGAGTGATCATTTTAATGTAATTGGATTTTACATCCCAAGATGAGGTCTGGAAAGGCCAATCTCAGGGTTAACAAAAAAAAAGAGAGAGAGAATTCTGAATATTGTGGGTAATCCTTCTTCAAGTTACAAAGCTAGGTCAGACACATAACTCTTATTGGTTCACAGTTGGCCAATAGGAAGTGCAAGGAAGCTTTTTCCACTACAATCTTTTTTCTTTTCCCTTCCTTCAACTTATCTCACCTTATATAGAAAAAGCACAAAACAGATAAAGATTTACAAAGCTGTATTGAGGGGAGGCAATAAAGGAGTAAGACTAAAAGGCCAGGAAGGGAGCATCAGGCTTCCATATTTCTTCCAGATGAGCACTAATTTTGGACTGGGTCCCAGACTACCCCCACACACCAAATTCCTTTTGCCTTCTGTGGGAGCTGATGAAGCACATCATATGAAAAAATTGTCTCCAAACAGCTTTGGCAAACAAGCAGGCTGGACTGGGCTTATTTTATAGAGCACACAGGAGTTAAATAAACAAAGTTTAAGTAGCTTGCAAAATTTAACACAGCAAGTCAGTAGAGACCAAAGAGCTAAGATCAGGAGAAGAAAGAATGCCAAAATAGAATCATTTCCGCTTGTGAATCAGAATACTAAATAGACTAAGAGAGCTGAGTGAATAAAGTCACTCATGAAAAGAAGCTTTCTAAACACGGCTGCCACCCTAAGAAGGCTCAGCCAACATTTACTTACCGTCACTTTTTTCTAGAAACATGACAAACAATTTGCTTGGCTGTAGAGAACACAGAATCCTGTTTCTGGTGTGCTAAGAAAAATACATGGAATGATGGAATATTATTTAGCGATAAAAAGAAGTACCTTCAAATGCTACAATATGGATAAACCTTGTAAACAGTATGCCAAATGAAAGAAGCCAGTCACAAAAAAAAACATGTTTTGTGTGATCTCATTTACATGAAATGTGCAGAATAGGCAAATTTATAGAGACAGAATGTAGATTAGTGGTTATAAGGGGCTGGGAAGGATGGGAGTGAAGGCCAAGGAGAGAGGGGTTTCCTTTCGGATAATGAAAACATTCTAAAACTTGTGGTAATGATTGTGCAACTCTGTGAATATACTAAAGACCATTGATGGGTACAGTTTAGATGAGTGAATTGTATGTTACGTGAATTTTATCTCAATAGAGCTGTTCTTTAAAAAATACATGCTGAATTTTATGTTTTCATTTTAGTAGCAGCAGTTGGAGAATATCTCTGATCAGCCCTTATGAATGTTCATGGCACTACTTACCTTTGTCTCATTATTTACCTTGGTTGTAGTATTATGTTTATTTGTGATTAGTTGATTTTCTGTTTCCCCCCACTAGACTGCATGGAGAAGGAAACGGCAACCCATTCCAGTATTCTTGCCTAGAGAATCCCATGGACAGAGGTGCCTGATGGGCTGCTGTCCATAGGGTCGCACAGAGTTGGGAACAACTGAAGCGACTTAGCATGCATGCATGCGTTGGAGAAGGAAATGGCAACCCACTCCAGTATTCTTGCCTGGAGAATCCCAGGGATGGAGGAGCCTGGTGGGCTGCTGTCTATGAGGTCACACAGGGTCAGACACGACTGAAGCGACTTAGCAGCAGCAGCAGCAGACTGCAAGTGCCATGAGAGTAGAAACTATCTGGATTCCCTCTTAAACATATACCCAGCATCTAGCATGTATGCACCAGGTACACAATAAATATTCATTAAATGAATGAATAAAGATTGCAGAAATATATATTTCATTAAGTATTTTAATGTTCCAGGTCACCAGGAGCAAAATAATCATGTTTTCTATCTTCATGGAATTGTGTTCTAAGGGGAGAGACACATATTCATTAGTTTTTCACACAAATAAATATATAATTACAGACTGCATTAAGCGTGTTGAAGAAATAGCACAAGGTGCTATGCCACTGAAGAACAAGAGGATCTGGAAGTCAGGAAGTCTTTCTTTGAGAAAATAAAAGTTGAGTTGAGGTCTGAAGCCAAGCAAAAACAAAGAGATCATGAGAAGAGCACCCTAACTCGTGGGAGCTATAGGTGCCAGGCCCTGGGGTCTGAGAGGAGGAACCTGAGATACAGGAAGGACTGAATGAGGACCAGTGAGGCAGGGGGACAGTGGGGCACAGGGAGCGAGGGGATGCGTGGAGCAGGAGGAGGCTGCAGAAAGAAAGAAGGCTAGACTGTGGGCCCTGGAATAAACAGGGCTTCTCCAAATTCAGTGGGGATCTTTTTAAAATCCATGTTCAGACTAGTAAGCCTGGGCTGGGGACCAAGACTGTGCATTTCTAATAAGCTCCAGGGACGTGCTTTGAGTAGTAAGGCTATGACATTATTCCAAGAGCCCTGAGAATCCACTCAAGTTTTTATTTTTTTTTTTAGTTTTTAGTTCTACCAGTTTATTGCTACCAACCCATCTCCCTCCACCCTCATGCACACATGCTCAGTCATGTAACCCCAGGGACTGCAGCCCGCCAGGCTTCTCTGTCCATGGACTTTCCCAGGCAAGAATACTGGAGTGGCCACTCAAGGTTTTAAAACAAGGATGTGATAAGATCAGATGTGGCATGTTACAGAGCGGATTAGAAAAGAGCAAGAGTGGGGACTTCCCTGAAGGTCCAGTGGTTAGGACTTCGCCTTCTAGTGCAGAAGGTGCAGGTTTGGTCCCTGGTTGGGGAGCTAAGATCCCACATGCCTCGGGGCCAACAAACCAAAATATAAAACAGAAACAATACCGTAGCAAATTTATTTTTTTTTCTTTTATTTTTTTTTCCATTTATTTTTATTAGTTGGAGGCTAATTACTTTACATCATTGCAGTGGTTTTTGTCACACACTGATGGTGTGTATGCCCAGAAGTGGGATTGCTGGGTCATATGGCAGTTCTATTTCCAGCTTTTTACGAAATCTCCACACTGTTTTCCATAGTGGCTGTACTGTAGCAAATTTAATAAAGGCTTTAAAAATGGCTCACATCAAAAAAATCTAAAACAAGAAGAAAAGAGCAAGAGTGAATTCAATGTATTTCCGTTATCCTGGTGAGAAGTGGTGGCAGCTGGGGAGTGCTGATGACGGATAAAAGCGGGTGGGTGACCCAAGTTGTACTTTAGGAACTCTATCTAGTGTCCTAGAGAGAATAGCCAGAGGGAGAAATCATTCAGAAGCTAAGAGAGTAGTTCAATGAAGATCTGAAGTAGGGTGCTCACAGTGGGAGAATGAAATGGAGGCCATGGTGGGAATTAAAAATTTGGGGGGGAATAGGGGCTTCCCTGTTGGCTCAGTGGTAAAGAATCCTCCTGCAGTGCAGGAGACACGGGTTCGATTCCTGGTCAGGAAGATCCCTGGGAGGAGGGCATGGCAACTCACTCCAGTATTCTTGCCGGGAAAATCCCAAGGACAGAGGGGCCTGGTGAGCTATGGTCACCAAGAGTTCAAATGCAACTGAAGCGACTGAACATACAGGCAGCACCATGGGTGGAACTGATAAAAAATCAGTAAACAAATACGTGGCAGAGTCGGACACGACTGATCAACTGAACGGAACTGAACAATACATAGTGAACAATTCCAAGTGCTTTCGTGTATATAATCTCATGACAATCCTGTAGTGTAGGTACAGTTGTTATTCCCGTCTGAGAGATGGGGCAGTTGAGGCACACGGTTTAGGTAACTGTCCCAAGGTTGTACAGACATTAAGTAGAGGGATCGGGAATTCTGGCTTCATGCTCATCTCTACTGCATCTCAATTTCTTTCAAGAAGTTGAATCTTCAAGTTCTGAAAACTGATTAGAGCTTAGGGATGTGAGGCTTTGGGAGGCTATGAGTAACTGGGAAATAATGGTCCAGAAGCAAGAAGAAAGAATTAGTTTAGTGGAAGAAGAATGAGATCTGGCTTGGATGAGCCAAGTGCAACCTGAGCTGCCCTTGAAATAGCCAGGAGAG